CCTCTACAAGCCTATATTGCCACCATCAATCGCTGCCTCCAATCCGCCAGCCACATTCAAATCAAGTTGAATGTCATCCCTCACTTGTCACGGTTAGAAAAAAACCTTTTCTTTTATCATCATGTTCCCGTGTGGGGAAAAGGGCGGTTCATCACGATGAGCTGGTAAGATAAGGGATCGTTGGAGATTCACCACTTTTGGTACATGGGGGAATCGCCTTAAGCGAAAGAGTGGAAAGGGAGCGAAGGGGGCCTAAGGGACTAAAACCAAGAGGAGCAGAAGGAAAGGAAATATGGACGGGAAATGGGAGGAGGGAGGAGTTGGAAGCCGCTCCTCATGCTTTCCCATGCTTTTTTTTTTGCTAGGGTTTTTCTCAAGTTGACAAAAGAATGTTAAAATATAGTTTGAAGCAATTTTATGATTGGATTTAATGATTTTTTTTTTGTTTGCACAATAAAAAATAATTTTTGTTTATAAATATGATAAAAAATAAATAAATCTAAATTATTAAAAGTTGAGAGATAAATGATCAAGATTTTTTTGTAAATGTTACATGTAAAACTTATATGTAAATGTTTACACCTAATTTTTCAACAAATGGGATGATACCACGTGCCATCCATGCTGGCAAGTATTTCACCTGTTGAAGGTTGTTGGTGTAGATCTCTCCAGATAAGATTGAGTAGTTATTTTTATAACGGCAGCAAAACTATTCCTTTGTTGCAAGCTTCCAGGAGAATAATTGGCAGTATCAACAAATTGATTGGTTTGTTTAAGAATCACACTACCGTTGGTTTTTTAGGATGTTGCCGTAGATCTCCACAATGCTGCCAAGGTGCTATAAATACTTAATGATGAGATCAAGCAAAGGATCGACATCTCACACAACAAACTCAGCACAATTTCTCTTTATACTCAGATTCATCTTAGTTTCAAGCCCTTTAGTTTAGTTTTAGGTCCACGTTTCAGCTTAGATTAGTTTAGCAATTCAGTTCTCCTTTTGTCAAATTTGCAATGGTGAGTTTCATTGTCTTCAGTAATATTTCTTTGTAATTGAATTGCTTCCTTTCCTTTTCCTTTCCTTTTTATTTGTTTTCCAAGTTTCTTTTAATTTAATCAAATGATATCGATATTTAATTTCATATTCAGTTTCATTTCTGTTAATTTATATTTTATGTTGCCAGTAGATTTTTCATGTTTCCAATTTTATTTATTTTAACTTAATTTACTTTTTTTTCAATTAAATTTTCTTTTAAAGCTCTATTTCAACCTACATTGCAAATTTAAAATTCATTTAGATTCTCGATAGTTCAACATTCATTTATATTCCTTGTAATCTTAACTTTTCTTGATTACATTAGTTTGGAGGAGTCCTTGAAATCATATCTAAGGCATTTTGTCATATAACCCATTTAGTGTAGGAAGTTCATCCGTCATCTTTGCCAATCGTCTGATCTTTAAGGCGTAATTTACGACGTTTTTTCATCAACTCACAAATTAAGTTCCACGCTTGGAAAAAAGAGAGGATCATCAGAGAAATCTTTTTTGTTTTGAGAAAAATAAGTGACATGCCATTTCATCTGTCAAGAAGATTTGTTGAGATAAGAGTAAATAAATTCCAATTCATATATATATATTTGTCACAACTTTTTAAGTAAAAAATATAATTATATTTAATAAATGTAAATAAATCTTAATCATTAGAAATAATAAGATAAATGATTGATAAATCTCTAGCATATATATATGGGTAAAAATTCACTTAAACATTAAATTTTACACGTTACACTTATATAAATCTCAACTATTCATCTTTTCACTTTTAATTATTGAAATTTATTCATATTTATTATATATATATATGTATGTGTGTGTATGTATATATATATATATATGAGATTAATTTATATTAATCCCAACTCTCAAGTAAAATTAGTGTTAACCTACATTTAAAAACTGACTATCTAATTTAAAATTTAAAAATTCACTCTTTTAAATGTTAATACTTAGATTTGCAAATTGATTTTATATTCTAATATAATTAATTTTCAAGTCTAAATATCAACATTTAATTTAAGGTTAAAGCTCTAATTTATTTTAAAAATCGGGTTCATATATATATATATATATATAATGGTACACTGCTCCCCAAAATCCTTTGAATAAATCAACCAGATATAGAGATGATACAGGGAAAATCTGTAAAGAAAATTCCTTCTATTTCCGTTAGTAGGTGTATGAAAAAGAAGAATGTTACCATAACACCACACACACTAGGGAAGAAAACTAGCATTTATATGTGAAACTTGGAGCGCAGTCAAGATCTAATCTCCCTGAGATAAATCTATGGTTGTCAAGCATTTTACAGCTCCATCTATGCAAATTTGGCGAACATCAACCCGTATGGCGCAGAAATAACAAGCTGGTTTTGATGACTCCTAATCAACCAGTTCTTAAAATTTGGATATAGTATTGCCCCACCTCAGATCACCAAATAAGAATGCCTGTATAGAGTGACAACTATTGATATACATGGAATGCACTATGCAGCATATGACATGATTTTAACCTTATTTTATATATTGGTGCTGGATCGAGCTATCCTCTGGGCTTCTTCTAGGTCCTTTAAAAACCTGCAAATTTATTCAGAACAACTATTTCAGATGGAATCACATTTAAACTGCACAAGACTTGTATAGTTGATGTCATATATATACTTTTTTAAATAATAATAAAGAAGCTGAAACATAACAGATCTACTCCACGAAACAATGTATTTTGTATCAGGCAGTTCAGATATGAAGGCTGAAGCTTGATATATTGACGTGAAACTAAAGAAGAATTCTGTATATTACACAAGAAGTACATGAAACATGACCACATCACATGCTCTATATGCAAGTTTTTAATTCTAGGGTACCATATGAAAATAACAAACCAAATAAGGAAAATATTCTAAGTTATTTCACAATTTCACATATAAATAGGGATTGCTACTAGCAGGATCTTTTCAACATTATCATGTTATTCCGTATGTAAGGGTAATAGGAAGAAAGATATATTAACCTATTCCTACCAAGCTTATTCTTATAGTAGCTCATACTAGTATACTGATGCAAACAAAGAATTAATCCTTAGGGTAATTTTTTATATTTTAGAGAATCAGTATCTAATTTTGATTACTTGCGGACTAATTTACAATTTAAATGTAAATCTAGGATCTAGGGAAATTATGTTATTTGACTATTATCTCGGTTATTATTAGTTTCCTGCTTCCATTATGGTTGGATTGCATCCTATTTAAGAGTCTTGGGATTTAGGTTAACGTGAGGGCTATTATGCTTTAGGTGTAGGGAATGTTAAGTTTCGAACTGATTATTAGGAATATTAGAACTTCTCCCCTTTTCTTCCCTCTGGTTTCATACCTTCATCTCCTCATTCCTAGGTTTCTCATCCCTCCTCTTCCACTTCCTTTCCCTATTTCCTATATTTCTCTATCCCCTTCTCTTCTCTCCATTTCTCCATCTAATCATTCTCTCTCTCCTGTTCTGCATCAACTACCCGGCTACCCCCTTCCATTAGAATAGCAATTCCAGGTATTTAGTGGTAATACTCCACTGTCCACATCAGTTAAGGAGGGGATTTGTTGAGGCCTGACATTCATGTTGGGCTCTGCTTATCACCATTAGGTTCTGGGACCAGGTCATGATTGACTACTCAAATCTAAATAATGAAACCAGACCAGCTAATGACCGTTCCACTATTAAGAATTTAACTAGAATGAAATAACCATTACTGTGATCCAAATGCACTGTAATGCTGTCAGTTTTACTGTCCTAATAAATGTCACAGCTCTCCTTGACTTGAGGCTAGGATCCACTTATGAACAACAAAAAACATGCAATGCACTGTTCTCAAGTCCAAGGCATAAAACCCAAACACAACAGATTTTCTAACTGCGTTCAAGCCAATTTAGTGGAAACCATCACTGCAAAAGAAAGCAGTCAGTTTCAAGTTTCATATGTTAATCAGATATTGTAGTGCTAGAAAAATATAAATGAACTTTTTCTCATTAGAAGACACAATATCCAAGAATTGGACAGAAAACATTCACAACCTACCTTTCAGAGTTAAGAACCACTGACCCACCAAGGATAAAACGAATTCCACTGTTGCTGGCATTTTGTAGGGCAACAGAACGTGACTCCTCATAGGTTGTCCCACCAACAATGAATATAACTACATCCTGTGGCCTGCATAAAGATAGAAGATGCTTTGTTGAAGAACTTCTTGATCTCCTTTCTCCTAATATACATTTCTACACAGAAAAATCAATGGCAAAAATATCATAGACATATGAAAGACTTAGCTTCCATAGTTATGTTTGTCTGAAGGTGGTTTAACAGTTTAAGGGTATAAGGAATCAAATAAACTGTGAAAAAGATGTGGAAAAATAAAGCTAGAGTGAATTGGATAATGCAGTAAAAAATAGTCAGTTTGAGAAATTATTTGTTCAGATTATTATGCGATTTTAGTTAATAGGGGTTAATTTGCAAGTTCAATGCAATACTAGGGTCTGGAGGAAATAGTGTTCTTTGAGTATTATCAGTTTTCTATTTCAATTATTATTAACTTATTTTATTAAGGATCCTATTCTCCTATTAGGGTTTAAGAGTCTTCATAGCTGGGTGTAACTGATTTTTTTTCCCCTAATTTACTTATTGGAATGAGATTAGAATGTCATATGTTCTTCATTTTGGTTCCGTGTTGTAAATAGCGTGCCTAGACACTAGCCAGTGGCCCACTGCCTCACCTGGCATCTAGGTGGTGGGTTTGGACGTTCACACAACGCCTAGATTGATTAAGTGCACTGTGCAGGATTAGGCTCAAATAACCAAAATACCCAAAAGAAGTGGTATTATAAAAAAATATCACAAAAAAAAAGGGGGCTAAATGACAAAAAAATATAAAACTGGAAAAAAGGAGACCAAATTAAGGAGATGCTGAAACTATGTATAGCAACTATACTACCATTATCCAGGTAGTGCTGACATCTTTCAGGATTGAGTTCCAAAATGCTAACAGCAAAAGACAAACCATACAAGCTTAGCCGGCAAGAGGAATCCAACAAAGCTTTAAAAAACATGATTGAATTAAAAAGGAGTGACAAAACAATTGTGAAAGTTAAATGATCAAAAAAAGACTTCTAGGATGAGTTTTTGGATGATAACAAACCTGCCCTGCTGAAAGTGATTTCCAACAAATGGGTAGTCCACATCCCGCAACCGCCCCTTGGTTATGCTCTCCATAGTTTGGAAGAGAAGTGGCTGGTGTTGAGTGTAGACATTCTCAACCCCCTATTTTAAAGGATTGAAAATTATTGGTAAGGTAACAGACATACATCAACAGCAAATAAGTAAAGGCTGACTCTATACCTTCAACCCACGAGCCATGTTACGAGCAATATTCAGAAGATCACGATTTCCATAAAGATCACCTGTTCGTTTATCAACACCAGCTTGCTTCAAGAGAAATTGCATAAGCTGCTTCCATAATTGCAACAAAACTAACCAGTTAGTTTCTCAGTTAACCTCAAAGGCTCAGATTAAAATCAAAGAGCAAATAACAAAACTACTTAATGATTCAAGCATTCAATGTAACCTAAGTCTATAGCCAGTAGCCCATTCTAGTAAAATATAGGCAGCTTTCAAATCTGAAAACTTTTTATGCTTCCATAATTGCAACAAAACTAACCAGTTAGTTTCTCAGTTAACCTCAAAGGCTCAGATTAAAATCAAAGAGCAAATAACAAAACTACTTAATGATTCAAGCATTCAATGTAACCTAAGTCTATAGCCAGTAGCCCATTCTAGTAAAATATAGGCAGCTTTCAAATCTGAAAACTTTTTAAATGTTACGAATAATAAAATGTTTCTAATCAAAATAACTACTATAAAGAATGATCTGTACCAACACAGATTATCATTTTTGAAAAAATCAATAAATTTTCATTGTGTTCATAAAAATAACCAGTAAAGCAAAGCACACGCCTATTAAAAGATAATAAAGGAACATGAAAAGCAAATGAGTATCAGATGCTAGATGGTTATTCTACCCCTGGCTTGTACTTGGCAGACCGAGAAGCTAGTTTGTTGAATAGCTGCATCAACTGCACAGGGCTCTCCTTTTCATAACGCAAAGCATACAACATTACAAGGCGTAAACGGTCAATATCAGATAAGCTTTCATTGTTCAAAAGATTTGTCACTGCCTGCAGAGAAGCATGTAAAGAAGAGAAGCTGTAAATTGAAACCAGACATTTCATGACTAACATGTAAAGAAGAGTGCATGAGTTGTAAATTACAAAAGATGTTCTATGACTAATTACAAATTGCTACTGAGACTTTTTGCCAGTATACTACCACAAAGAAGATAGTGAAATGTACTTATTCACAACAGTACTCTAGATGAAAGCTGCATCCATATCTCAAACAAGTAAACCTATAAAGACAAGTAAGAAATTGCACCAAATGATAAATACTAGAGACTAGTTTTTCCTTTCAAGAATTCAAGTTGAAAAGGGAATGTAGATTTAATAGATTCCTTAGCAAATGGTAAACAAATCAGGCAAAATGGATCCTTTCCACAATAACAGTTAACAAAATTTGTTAGATTTAAACCATACCATGAATGCTAAACTGCAAGCCCCATCAATAGGGGTTGGGGGAGTGTGGGGAGGAGTGGTGTGGAATCTAATACTAATAAACAGATTTTATACCAATTTCCATCATTTTAGCTGGCAGTCTAAGAGATGCAAGCGACCGAAAAAAACTGTAAGTCATGAACTGTAAAAGTATCAAAATGCATAGTTTTATCAACTACATCTCCATATAACCAGGAAACTAATTAAGAAACTAAAACATATTTGTGGACTCATAACTCCATGAAGACAACAACATATGTAAGACTACAAGAAGGAAAATTGACTGTATGCTACCTCAAAAGCTGCTGCTTGCCCACCATTGCAGGCCAACTCCTGTTCTGTTTCTGAAACCAACATAAGCTTTCTCTCTTCAACTATCTTGCTCATTTCAGTGACCAATGTAACATGTTTTGAAACATTCCCTTGCATTTTTCTGTACTCAGGATAGTTATCTACAAATTTGGCCATGTCTTCTGCAAAAATTCAAAACTGTAAACAAATTAACAACCACAAGTAGCCTTTAATGATTAATATCGGAGTAAATTATTAAATGAGTCCAAATACTCAATTTTTCCTTTTACCAACCTATTGTTTGAATATTTTGATTGCTTTTTGCAACTTGCTGGAAGTCATCCACCATTCGTTTGATATTCATTCCAATATCTCCAAAATTCTCATGCATGTTAGCTTTGAAGAAGGCATCTTGTTCTGATGACAGCACAACTTCCTATAAGCATGAGAAAATGAATACAACATCATACAAAATTTTACACAACAAAATATTTAAAAAAAGGGGTAGAAGATAGAGTCAACCTGCTGATCTTGGGGAACCTTTCCAAAATTTCTCAGGTCGACTTTGTTATCCTGAATACCTATCAATTCATGAACCATTGCCTGCAGAAAGCAGTCAGCTAGATGAAGTGCATTAGCCCAAAAAAGGCCAAAATACCCAGACCCAATTTGAAAAAAAAAATTTGAGACACATAATTACAACCAAGACAACCATAATCATAGAGATAATGACCAGAAAAACATGTACCTGATAAGTCCACTGATTAAGCAATGGAGTCACAGGATCGTCCCTTCTATCAACTATCAGCAGTAATGGAGACATTTCCATTCTTCTAAAATCAAAAAGACCACTTTCTTGCTGGTACATCAGCTTCTGTCACATCCACAAAAGAGACAATACAGATCAGTTATAGAAAATTGTGCAAAAGTTGCAGTGCACAAATTTACTTACAGAGGTTTCATTTGCAATCCTTTTTGCAATATCAGAGGTCCTTGAATATCTAATAATGGGTCTTCGTTTTAATGCCAAGAAAACTGCAGCAATACCATCAACAACCCTATCACAGTAGTGCTGTAAACTTGAAGGATCCACAACTGCGGGCAGCATATAACGGTGATTTGAGGACATATTTAAAGTGAAATGATATGGATCAATCGCAATGAAATCAGCATAGAACTCCTGCAATTTCAAGAAAACACTTTTACATGAGAACTTCAATTAGGACCAAAACTGCAGTACACATTCACTGTTCAAAAACTTTTTTCTTTTTCAAAAAAAGAACAAAAGATGACAGAAACTTTATGCAAAAAACTAAAATATTACATACAGGAAGGTGAAAATATAGTATCTAAATCAAATAAAATATTTTTCCACCTGGAACAAGAACAATGCTTAAATCAGCCCTTTAGAAGTTAGCAAAGTGTCTCTCATTAACCAAAAAGAAAAAAAGAACAGTCAGGAATGAACATGGCAATGCCTCCTCATGATGTATCCAAAGGAAACTAGAGGAAAAAATCTTAAAAAACTGACCCTCGGTTAGTTTTCCCAGCTTTTACATATTCCTCTGGATTTGATATTTCAAAAAAAAAAAAAGGTAACTGTTGATGCTGTAGGAAAGTAGAGCTGTAGATTTTCTGGTCCAAACACAGCCCTTACCTTCCGTTCAATCACACAACACACTCTCAACACTTGAACCTATGCTCTTATTCATGGCAGTGGAGATCTTATGATCACCAAAGAAATGGTCCTTGCATGATTCACCTAGGCCTTAGAGTAAACTTGTCACATAATATTACCAATGGATGCAAAAGAAATTCAAACTTCCTATTTATCAATTTTATAGTTGAAACAATAATAATCCAGATAAGGAAGTAAAATATCATCACATGAATAACAGTGAAGATTACAAAAGCACTGATACATGAATTGTTACCTGAATCTGTTGGACAATTTCCTTTTCATCTGAATCAGCTAAAATATGAATCTGGGTATCCTTTAACATGTTGGAGAAAACTGTAAAAAGCAAAGAAAAAAAATGGACAGACCAAAAGGGGCATTAAGAAACTAATTGATAAAAAATGGAAAAATTTTTACAATAAAATTAAATCATAACACCTTGAATTCCCAAAAAATAATTTTAACTTACACAAATGGTATTCTCCAAATCTAGCATTAGATAACTGATGCCGCAGATGATTAATATTCTCAGAAGTAGGCCTAATGAAGTAAACAGCTTTGAGATGTGACATAGATTCTTTTGACTTGGAAATTGAATCCATCAATTCTACCAAAAATATTTCTTTTTGGAGCAGATCAGACTGTGAATAGACAACACTGACACTGCTAACCTGAAACTCAGAAAACAACACAAATTTCTCATAATGAAAGTGCTTTCCTTTCCTTAAGGATTTATCATACTTAACCAAAAAAGCTAGCAACAAAAGCCAAAAAAATAATAACAACAATAAATGATTACTTAGAGGCATGCAGTAAAAGTTGACCAAGAATTTTGGCACAAACTGATTCTGGATAGAGCAGATCAAATTTATCTAAAAAAAGGCTTTATATAGGCTTGTAATCAGGAAAGTTATGCAACAGGAGTTGTAACTGACCTTAGATACAAACGCAAATGAATTTTTAAATTGTAGTTGGGACATGAAAAACCATCACCCCGAACACTTAAATGCATGCATACAAAGAGATAATCACCTAGTTGCTTTAAAGATCAATGCGGCCACCATTGCAAATCCGCCACACTATGAGAGTTACCATAGCAGTAGAGCACCAAGGCGCTACACTATGGCCATTATAGTGCCATAGCACCTGCTATTGACTACACTGTTATTCACAATCACAAAATGACCTGGCTGGGACTTTATCCTCAATGTAATACTATAAAGAAAAGGGCCACCTGTAACCATTGGTGAACCAAGCACAGGAGAAGTTCAATTAAGGAAGCTACCTTCCACCTTCCATCAATCTCATCTCATGCAAAATGAAATTAGTGGCCATTGCAGAAAGGGTAAAAAAAGAGAGGAAAAGAATAGCATTCCAGATCCAGACATATGTGTCAATAAGAAAGCATAAAATGCAAATAATGATATTGATAACTCATATCACTGGCTAAATCAGAGCAAATTGCAGGCGACTATGTTTATAGAGGACTCAGGGCAGGAGCAGTCCAACCATTGACTCAACCCAAGCTGAATGATTATAATGCAGTACAAAAGACAAGTTGCCAGTTTGCTAGGCTACAGATACCCAAAAGTAGCAGGAAGAGTGAAGGAATTATGCAAGAAACAACAGAAATCTGCATCAGCTTCCCCCATTAGAGTCTAACATCTGAATTCAATGATCAACTATACAATGGTCTAGTTGAGTCTACATCATGGAATTATAAGAGAAATAAAGCCACACAATGCACTCATCACAAAACTTCGTTTCTCTTTTACTGTTCACTAACTACCCTAATCCCTAAGCTTATCCCAATTGTTGCAAACTGACTGATTATAGTATTCAGGATTACATAAATCAAACGTTGATCCAAGACATCAGCAGACCCCAATTAATAGCAATAAACCCATTGACAGGCAGGACTTAAAGTCAAACGCCTAATAGTCAATCAAATTCAAAGCAAATTTACGGAGATTTGCCTTACAACTGAAACAATGAGTCCCATCGTGAGCACAATGCGAAGAGCAGAAGGTTTTCCTCAAGTCCTAATGATGTCTAAACTCAAAATTTGGCTCATAATATCACCAGTTTCCCATTATCTAAAGTTTTTCAAATTACCAGACTCAGATCATAAAAAAATTTATTTTTTTATCTCTGATTATTACTTCGAAATTTCCAACATACGAGCTACATCAACTGCATGATACAATTTGTTCGAGTTTGTTCAGATTCTATGAAACTGAAGAATTGAATGAACAAAAGCAAATGAACTGATGGATAGAGAAAATGCGATTAAGAAGAAAGTTTCCGAATTTGTACGGAGAAAGCAAAACGATTTACCGTTTGTGAATCGAGGATGAGAACCTTCATGCCAGAGATGTCCTGCAACATCCGGTTGATGTAATCCCTAACGGCGGACACTAGCACCATCTTGAGTTGCCCTAGATCTAGAGTTATGGTGTTTGAATTTTTGGGTGGTGGTGAACGTCGAGACTGATCGAATAAATCTTGCGATTCCGGCAACCTAGGATGATACGGTCGTGATCAGCGTATAGAGAAGGAATCTGGAAGTCCGCCCGGGTGAACCGAATGGTTTGTTTGGTTTTTTCTTTTTTTCTTTTTTTTTTTTCTTTTAAACCGGGTGTTTTGGTTAAGGAAAATAATTTTATGGAAAATGTTTTATGCATTTTCTGATTTTTTGAAATAATAAAAAAATATGGTCACAAGTTTTGGAAAATAACTTCTAAATTTTATCTCCGGAAGTTATTTTCCACAAAAGCATGCGCAGTCAACCGGTTATTTAACCCCGATTTTTTTTTTTTTTTTTTTTTGCAGTAAGTTAATGCAAATTTAGTTGTTCAAACTAAGGTGATGGGTGTGGTTGTATAGCTACTCAGTTAAATATTAGGTAAAAACC